TGAAGTCGAGAGGTTTGAGACCAACCTGGACAACACAGGGAGACTCCTGTCTCTACAAAAACTAATTTTCTTTTTTTTTGCCCCACCCAGGCTGCGGTGCAGTGGTGCAATCTCAGCTCACTGCAAACTTTGCCTCCCAGGTTCAAGCCATTCTTCTGCCTCATCCTCCAAAGTAGCTGGGATTACAGGCACATGGAACCTATAAAATTAGCCCAGCTAATTTTTGTGCTTTCATAGAGCCAGGATTTTACCATGTTGGCCAGGCTGGTCTCAAATTCCTGACCTCAGGTGACCTGCCCACCTCATTATCCCAAAGTGCAGAGATTGGGATCACAGATGTGAACCACCGTGCCTGGCCAAAAACTAAAATTTTTAAAAAGACGCAATCTACACCATTCTCCTCTATTCCTTTGCCTTTTCTTTCATTCTTTTTTTTTTTTTTTTAGACTTGAGTCTTGCTCTGTCACCCAGGCTGGAGTGCAATGGCACAATCTCAGCCCACTGCAACTTCTGCCTCCTGGGTTCAAGTGATTCCCTTGCTTCAGCCTCCTGAATAGCTGGAATTACAGGCGCATGCCATCACACATGGCTAACTTTGGTATTTTTGGTAGAGATGGGGTTTCTCCATGTTGATCAGGCTGGCCTCAAACTCCTGACCTCACGATCTGCCAACCTTGGCCTCCCAATGTGCTGGGATTACAGGCCTGAGCCACCTATCTCTTTTCCTTTCTATGGATTTTGGAAGATTCCACACTGTTGGGCCTGCAGCATTTCTCAAAGTCTGGATTTCCCTGGTGCAGGTGAAACCATTCTCTGTCTTTTGTATTTGTGGCATATTTGCAGCTGGATTGATGCTCGCCCCATCAGGTTAGAGTTGGATCATGTTGGCAGGATTCAATGGGTGATGTGATTGATCTCTTATTGGTGATGAATACTATCCTATTGTCTCTCTTACTTTGTTAATTGTTTAAATTAGTTTTTTAGAAATAGGGGTCTCATTTTGTCACCCAGGCTGGAGTGCAGTCACTCCACCATAGCTCCTTGAAGACTCAAACCCCTGGGCTCAAGTGATCTGCACACTTCAGCCTCCTGAGTAGCTGAGACCACACATCACCACACCCATCTTTTTTTTCTTTTTTGAGTTGAAACCTCAGTCTGTAGCCCAGGATAGAGTGCAGTGGCAGTATCCCGGCTCATTGTAACCTCCACCTGCTAGGTTAATGCAACTCTCCTGTCTCAGCACGCTGAGTAGGTGGAATGATAGGTTTCCTGCTACCACACCCAGCTCATTTTCATATTTTTAGTAGAGATGGGCTTTCACCATGTTGATCAGGTTGGTCAGGAACTCCTGACCTCAAGTGATCTGCCTGCCACAGCCTCCCAAATTGCTGGGATTACAGGGTTGAGCCACCGCACTGCACCTGGCCAATGCCCAGGTTTTCTTTCTTATTTTTTTAGACTGAGTGTTGTTTTGTCACCCAGGCTGGAGTACAATGGCGCAATCTCAGCACACTGCAACCTCTGCCTCCTGGGTTCAAGCGATTCTGCTGCTTCAGCCTCCTGAGTAGCTGGAATTATAGGCACCCG